AGGAAGGAAGGAAGGAAGGAAGGAAGGAAGGAAGGAAGGAAAGAAAAGGAAGTGAATTCCAAGTAGAAGACAAGACCAGAAAGGTTGCTTGGGGACAGTGGCATAATGGAAGGGTATGCAGCCCTCATCTGGCTCTTGGCAGGCCTTCAGGAGGTAGCACAATGTGGAAAGGGTCATTGCTGGTGTGAGATGGATGTCTGATGGCTTCAAGGGGGCCTGAGGTGAGTGGTAGAAAGCCCGAAGGTCTGAAACTTGCTGGGCCCTTTTTAATTGTCCTTGCATTCTAATAGCTTTGAGCTGTCATCGAGTCTTTTAGTAGTGCCTCATGTGTGCTGGGAATGCACAGGGTCAAAGTGTATTGTTCTGAATAACCCTGTCCAGATGAGCCCAGATAGGATAATATTAGAAATGGCCTGGTCACATGTCATGGGGTTATTTGGAATTCCATACTCACCACACTGTTGCTTGTTTTTCTTTAGAGATGCTGGGGTAGGATGGGGACAAATGATGAAAAAGGATAGAGCTGGTACTGTCCTGTCAGTCTCTTCCATCCATTTTCACTCCTGGAACCACCTGAAGTGGAAGGAAAGATAACCTGAAAGCATGATGAACAGCCTGGCTATGAAGCCCTGGAGATGGGGAGTGTTGCCTTAGATTGTTAGACAGCCAGTTGGGTTTTAACAAAATGCTACCCAAACCAGAGTTCTTATTCTCCAGATGTTTCTCAAACACAGGTAGCATTTGGTGGGTGGAGGCAGTCAGCTGATGCTGAGAGATCCTATGTTCTTGGTGACCCTGGCAGAGCTCCCTGGCATCCTGCTCATCTCTAGCAGGTGCTGATGTGGTTGCTATGGATAAAACCACAGGCTCAGAAGTGGGTGGCATGTGAAGGCAAAGTAAAGCTCAGCATGTGGATAAGATACAAGGGGTAGTGCCTACTGCCCAGTGGGTTTTTATGCAGAGGGCTTGGGGGTATGACTAAGATAATGCTGAGGAATTTCAAAATAAGCTGCGATAAGACATCGAAGCTTGAGTTCCCATTTTCATTGTGTTTATAATGCACTTACAGATGTCATCACCCATGTCTGTCAGAGAATTTAAAAGTGTCCCCAGAGAAAACAAAGCTCAAGTGGCTCTGCCCAGTCACCATGGAAGGGACCGATTCAGGTCACTGCATTGTTCACTCTGTCGGCAGAGAGAAGTAGGGCAGTCAGGCCGCTCCCACAGTGGTGTCCTGGAGGGCCTCTAGCTAGGAGAGGAAGGGTCCTTCATACTCAGAGTTGTCTGGCTTTGACCTTTAGAGGCAGTCTCACCAGTGCCCCCCCCCCCCACCCCCGCCCCCTCCTGTCCCCAGAGCAGGTGACAGAAGAAAGGCTTCTCAACCCTCTGTCCCTGCCTGGGCTGCTTGCACAAGCAGCCAGTGTGGCCAGCAGGCTTGGGTGATGGGGAATGAGAGCTGCTGTTTGTTTCCACTGAGAAAGTTCTGACCCGCTTCCGGAGCCATTACCATGGAAACGCTAGGAGGAGATAATTGAATGGAGCCTCTTTTTCTTCCTCTGCATCCCCTCTCCTCCCCACCCAGAGACCGAACCTGGTAAAGACTGCCTCCAGAGGCACGAGTCTCAGTAGGGTATAACAGCTTTCTGAAGAGTGCTGGCTCCCCTCACCTGGGATCCATTACCCAGTGTTCTCATGGCCCAGAGTAGTGGCAGTCCACTTGTGCATCAGTTCTCCAGGCCTGCCTGTCTGAAAGCCACTTGGTCTCCAGAGCTGAATGCAGAGGTGGCCTCCCTGTATGTTCAGCCAAGCTCCATCCCAGGCTTCCTTGCCGGGAAACCTTTTTGGAACCGCATATATATTACACAAACTTTTCAAGCAGAACTAGAGGGAAGAATAATTTTGTTGCTTCCACAGAATGAATAGCAGCTATTTAACTGCTAGCCAGAATGTTTTCCTTGTTCCTTTTTGTTTTGTTTGGGTTTTGCAGCGTGGGCATCACACTGAGCCTTCTGCACACTGGGCAAGTGCTCTGCCCTTAAGCTATACTCCCCCACCCCCAGCCTTACAGGTTTTCGTTTGTTTTTGTTTTTTCCTTCTTCATATAAAATTAGTAATATTCCCCTTTAATTTTGTGAAAAGTAGATTTTTTTGTGTGATGAAAAGAATGCACCAACCCCATTTAGTTTAATTTCTTTCTATTTTGCTTTAGACAAAACTAATAATTCTTTTTTTTTTCTTTTTTCTCTTTTTTTTCTTTTTTCTTGTTTTTGGTTTTCAAGATGGAGTTTTTCTCTGTAGCTTTGGAGCCTATCCTGGCACTCGCTTTGGAGACCAGGCTGGCCTCAAACTCACAGAGATCCACCTGCCTCTGCCTCCCGAGTGCTGGGATTAAAGGCGGGCGCCATCAACGCCCGACTTAAAGCTAATAATTCTTAAAGTATAAAAATCTAAATAAAAGTTGAAGTTCGTAGGAAAGCTGTAAAATGAAGGTGCTGAGATTGACTGGGCACAGTAAACAGAATGAACAAGTTATTCAAGCTTCTTTCCAAGTCTTTCCATGCAATTCTATATTTGTTTGCCTGTTGATTAGTCATCAAAAGCCAGATGGGAAGATGGCAGAGCAGTTAGGAGTGCATACTGCTTTTTCCGCTTGTTCCCAGCAGCCACAGGAATCAGCTCACAACTGTCTGTAACTCCAGCTCCGGGGTATCTGAAGCCATCTTCAGGCTTTACAGGTACCTGCATGCACATGCTGGAAATATGGACATACAAACATGCATACCACAAATTAATACTAACACTAGCAATCAGCATCATAAAATAATAAAACAATAGTTATTTGGTTGTTTGTTTTTAAGCCAAAGTTTGATCTAGGGCTTCAGAGTCCAGAGTCTACAAACAAACCAGTATTGCACATCGCTAACACTATGAGCTCACAGTATTGGACCCAGCACTTGGTAAGTAGTGGTAAAGATGGTGATGTGACCTTTATATTCATGGAACCCAACTTTTATTGAAAAAACATTGGCCTAGATATCTGAAGAGCAAAATTTAACTCCCAGTTCTATGACTTACAACTACAGCCATCTCCCCTCTAATATACTGTAATACAATATTTTTGTTTATATGCTATATGCTAATGTATACTATCATCTATCTATCATCTATCTACATTTATCTATCTATCTGTCTGTCTGTCTATCTACCTACCTACCTACCTATCTATCTGGGAAATGCTTTATTGCTGACCCAAGTTCCCTGTCCAAAAGTTATTTAAACTTCCCAAATTGTTCATTTGTAAGATTACTCAAAAACAGTAATATTTTTGAGCCATATGTGACTATGGGTAATTGAAACTGAGAAAAGCAAAAATCTTATTACAAGAGACTGCTGTACCATTTATGTGACCTTAGATAAGTCCCTTATAAAAGTACTCTGA